GCTGCTGCTGCTGCTGCTGCTGCTGCTGCTGCTGCTGCTGCTGGTGGCGGTTCTGCGAGTGAGAACGCCGGTTTGCTGCAGCTTTCTCCACCTGTGCTGCAGCCTCTCGCGCTTAGCCCGCAGCAGCAGCCGCAAGTCCGCGTGGCCGTACCAAGTCCTCCGAAAAGCATCACTTTTGCTGCTGCTGGCCAACAAAAAGACCAAAACTGCGCACTCGGGGCTGCAGCTGCCTTTGGTGCAAATTACGTAGCTGGGGGGGGCCCCCGGCTGCTGCCTGGTGGGGAAGCGGAAGCGGGGCCCCGGGAGAGCGTCGCCCAGGTCTATGATGACGCAGCGCATGCAGTGCAGCGCAGCAGCAGCAGCAGCAGAACCTGCTGCAGCAGGACCTGCTGCAGCAGCAGACCTGCACAGCTCCACCAACACGTTCCCCGGCTTCGTGTCCCAGTTGATCAGCGGCCGCTGCAGCTCGCAGGCCAGCAGCCGCTGGCTGCGCACGAACTTGATGCTGATCTCCAGGGCCAGCAGCGCAGCAGCAGCACGAGACGGAGTTCTTAGCTGCTGCAGCACTTGAGTTAAAGTCCGGCCTTCTATTCTTTCCATGGCCACTCCGAGGACTCTGCTGCCGCTGGCTGCCAGCCCCCTGGCGGTCCAGAAGTAGCGGGGCACCGGCAGCAGCTTCCCCGGCAGCAGCAGCTGCTGCTGCTGCTGCTGCTGCTGCTGCTGCAGCTGCTGCAGCTGCTGCAGCAGCAGCTCGGGGTGCCCCGCGGCCGCGCCGCGGCCCAGCGCCTCCAGCTGCTGCAGCAGCGCAGCCTCCGCCGCACTCAGCCCGCGGCCGCTGCGCCGCGCTGCTGCTGCTGCTGCTGCTGCGCGCGAACCCCACAGCTGGCAGCAAAGACCCCGCAGCTGCAAACCCTCCTGCAGCACACTGTGAGTTCTGTACTTCAGTCTGCTTTCTTCTGTCTTGTCGATTTCCAGGAGCTTCAGTGCGAAGCGTCTGCGGGGCCCCAGCAGCTGCAGGTGCAGCGCCGCGAGGCCCTCTCCGTCCTCCACCACTGCTTCCTCCTCGGGGCCCCCTGCTGCTGCTGCTGCTGCTGCTGCTGCTGCTGCTGCTGCTGCTGGGTCCGCCACCCCCACCGCCTCCGCCTCCCACACGTCGAACTGGCAGTGACACTTCGCACTCAGCTTCCGCAGCAAACGCACCAGCAGACCCCCAAACTGAATGTCGTACTCCGGCTGCTGCTGCTGCTGCTGCTGCTGCTGCAGCAGCTGCAGCTGCAGCGGCTGCAGCGCCTGCAGCGGCTGCAGCGGCTGCAGCGGATACAACCCGCCGCCAACCAACGAAGACTCCACAGGCACCTGCGTCTGCTGCTGCGCGTGCGAGGGCTTCACCAACGGAGGAAACTCCAGCTGCTGCTGCTGCTGCTGCTGCTGCTGCTGCTGCTGCTGCTGCTGCAGCGAGCTGCGCGAACGCAGGAGGGCTCCGCTGTGCAGACACGCCGCTGCAAAACTCCCTCCTCGGCGAAGCAGGCTCGTCGGCTCAGGCGCAGGACCCTGCTGCTGCTGCTGCTGCTGCTGCTGCTGCTGCTGCTGCTGCTGCTGGCGCTTGATGTGGGACCCGCTCTTGTCTATTGAGTGCAGCAGTCGGTGGCTGAAGCCAAACAGGCCCTGGTGCTTTGAAGTACTCAGCTGCGGACTTGCGATTGCTGCTGCAGGTGCTGCTGCTGCTGCTGCTGCTGCTGCTGCTGCTGGGGGAGTATACGCCTTACTGAGCGCTCTATCCTCTGTTCTCTTCGGGCCCACTTCCGGGAGAATCTGCTGCTGCTGCTGCTGAAGGTGCTGCAGCATCTGCTGCTGTTGCAGGAGCTGGTGCCGGTGCTCTTTCTGCTGCTGCTGCTGGGACGCATAGAACTGCTGCTGCTGCTGCTGCTTCTGCTGCTGCTCCTCGAAGGTTCCCCGCCGGCCGTGGCCCTGTGCCGTAATTAGTCGGCAGACGTCTGTGTCTGCTGCTCCTCGCTGCTGCTGCTGCCAGATGGAGGCTTCAGAAGCAGCAGCAGCAGCTGCTGCTGCAGCTTCTGCTTCTTCCCGCAGCAACGTATCGTCCGCTGCAGCTGCTCCGACAGCAGCTGCTGCCGCAGCTCCTGCGCCCGGAGCAGCAGCACCAAGCGGGGCAGCAGCAGCAGCAGCTGCTGCTGCTGCTGCAGCAGGCGGGGCAGCAGCAGCAGCAGCAGCAGGACTTACAAGAGAAGAACCTGCAAAGAAACTGTGACGAGACAGCCGCTGCCCCATCAGCCGAACGCTGGGCCTAAAGGCCCTAGCGAATGCAGACAGAGCAGACTGAGTCATATGCTGATGCTGCTGCTGCTGCTGCTGCTGCTGCTGCTGCTGCTGCTGCTGCTGCTGCTGCTGCTGCTGCTGCTGCTTCTGCTGCCCGCTGGTGGTGCCGCTGCCGGGCTGCGCAGACGGCATCGCGGAACTCTCAGCCGCAGCGGCCGCCGCTGCA